GGCATTACTCAGTCATATTAAATAAGCCACAAAGTCTGTCTCTCTGTGGATGAGTTTTACCCCTTACACTTTTTAAACTTAAGGTAAATTTCCCATAAAGATTGTTATCTTATCTAGCCATGAGATTCTAAAATATTTTTGAAGTTTCATAATACACTTCCATAAACACTTTGTAGAATATTTGATAAGTTCATAGGTGAAAATATTTATTTATTTATTGTTGTTTTTGTTGTTCAATTACTATTGTTGTTGAAACCAGAAAAATAGAGGTTAAAATAGGGACTGCCTTAAAGAAATTTGGCCTGAAGACAGAAACCACAAGGAAGTCAAGAAAGAACATAGGGAGTGGAGAAGGCTGAACTACAAAACCAGTGGGTCTGAACAAGTAGAGGACCACCTGTTCAAGTGTCTAGGTTAAAATTTTTCCATTACTCAAAACCCAGAAAGCTTAGGTCATGCTCACGCCACCCGAGTAGCCAGTAGCTAACAGCCACGTTTGCTTCTATACAATGCTTGCTTGCTCGCGTCTATAAAAAGACTTAGCTGTAAGCGCTTAGCGCGGCTCTGGTTTGCATCTCTTATGAGCACCATGTCTCCAGACACTCTGAGGGTTCACCCCTGCGCAGGTTAAAACTTTGGCCAATAAAATAACATCTCTGAATCCTGAAAGTTTCTGACAATTTGTCTCTCGCCTTGGTGGATGCAACATTGTCCCAATTTTTCCCCCATGGTTCTCCCCCCTCCTCCCCCTCAAGGTCAATCCCCACCCTGTTGTCCACATCCATGTCCTTTACATATGTTCCTTGATGACCCTTCCCCTTCTTTCCACTGTTATCCTCCTATGCCTCCCCTCTGGTTACTGTTAGTTTGTTCTTTATTTCCATGTCTGCTTTCATTTTGCTTGCTTATTTGTTTTGTTGACTAGGTTCCACTTATAGGTGAGATCATGTGGCATTTGTCTTTCACCGCCTTGTTTACTTCACTTAGCATAATGCTCTCCAGTTCCATCCATGCTGTCACAAAGGGTAGGTGTTCCTTCTTTCTTTCTGCTGCATAGTATTCCATTGTGTACAGGCAAAAATATTTTTCATTTTAATGAGTTCTTACACATAACACATGATAAATAGCTTTTTCTTTATACAAATGTAACTTTTGTTTTTAAAAGTATTAGTTCTTAAAGTATTAAGTTAGCTTTGGAGAGTGCAATAAGATCTTTCTTCATAACAGTAACTTTTGCGAAATGTAAATAACGCACACCCAGTCTTTGAAAGGACAGCGTTGTGCACGTCTCACGCGGCAGACTGCTCACAGAAAGCTCTCTGCTGACCAAACCCAGCCTTGGTTAGTTGGCAATGGAGAATTGTTCTACATTTGGCCACAAGATGGCGATATCACAAAGCAAATCCAAAAATAAACCAAATTAGGTCTGTTCCAAATGATTTGTACTTGTGTTTCTTTCCCAGCTGAGCCTTTAAAGATAACAATTTGTTATCAGCGAGGGCATTCCCCTGACTTATTTTGCATTTCAAGGTCTGTTCCCTGTTTGCATTTGGGGGCTTTTTGTCCTTCACACTGAGTGCTGACTGGCTGTCTCTGGAAGGTTAGTTAATTCAGTCTGTTTGCAGTTGTCAATCTATTCTTTGCTTCTTCTAGCAGGGAGTGGAAACCATTCCCATCTGGGGATCTGATCAGCTTATTTCTGCACTGGTGTTTAATGTCAGCATAGCTTACAAGGGATGAGATAGAGGGAAGACACACGGAGGTATGTCCCAGTGATCCCAAGTCGCTAGAGAAAAACCACGTGACGTGTTTGAAAAACTGAAAGTAGTTTGATGTGAGTGAAGCATAGTGAACAGGAGGCCTGTTGAGTGTCCTGTGTCATCTAAGAGTAATAAGAGAAGCCTCTGTTGGTTTCAACTCAGAATCAACGTCACCGTTTGAAAAAACTTGCTGATCAAAATTCAGAGAGAGGAACAGATGAAAGCGAGTGCATGGCAGCCGCCCCGGTCTAGGCCGGCGCGTGAGTTCCCTGCTCTGTGGGACAGTGGTGAGAACAGAGGGTTTTGACAGTCGTTGAAAAGGCAGAGATAGCAGGACTGGGAAGTTAACGGCTGTGAAGCAGAAGTGATGAAGGAGAAGAGAAAGATCAAAGAGGGGCCTCAGGGCTGCCCTGGGGTGTTCATTCCAGCTTCTCTCTTCTATCTCCTGTGAAAGGAGAGCCTGGTGTTTACACCCTGTGAGCTGACGGCAGTTCAGCTCAGCGGAGTGGTGAATTGGGGGCATCGTCAGCTGAATGCATGTTTAATAATTCTCAGTGGAGACTGGCTCTGAGTTTCTCAGTCTTCCCATCAACCACATCTAGTTTCTGACCACATGCAACCATTACGTCAGCATTTGGAGGTGGCCCAGACTGCTTCCATTTTCTCCTACAAAAGCCATGGCTGAAGTCATTCCCCAGGTACTCAGGCCACCAGTGGTTCTCTGCTGCTCAGAGCCTCTGCTGCCAGAAAGTCGGGGTGAGTGCTGACTCCCCACCCTGAATCCCTCCAGCAGAGCCCTCTGGGACTTCGGTGAGGTTAGGGAGGTACCGACAGAGACACACCACCGGGTTCCAGGGTTGGGCAGTGGATGCCGGGTGACCACCCACCTCTGCACTCGGGCCCACTGCTGCTTCCCCTCGTAGTTTCTGGGCATCTGGGGCCAAGTTTGTCGCAGACTTGAGGGTGAGTGCCATGACTCCAGGTGGGATGCAGGATGTGATGATTATGGCACAGAGGAGTCTAGGAAAGTGGTCAGTACTGCAGAACAATCCCTTACCCATGACCGATGTCTGTATCCTGAGGTCGACTCTGTGTTGATATTGAAAGAATTACAGAGATAAGGTTGATTTTGGTCTCAGATGAAAATTATCTTCTAAGGTGCAAAAAGATGTTCAATGGCTTCACTAAGTCGCTTCAACGTTGTATGACTTCTGTAATTGCTTTGATGGCTATCTTGTATAAAAAGGTAAACAGAAGGAGGGAGTGAGGAATATGGAAATGTTTCTGGGAAGTTTGATTCTATTAACATAGCAAAATTGCTTGGAAAGTCCAAATACTTATTAAAATATATTATCTCTTCAATATCTTTTCATAGTGGCTTTTCAAATACTGAGCTCTCTCATGCAGAGTCTTACTAGTTCACTTTTAATACTTATGCATGACACAAGTATATCAACATCTCAGCTACCTAAAGAAAAAACAATAGCATGACCTCAAAATAGCTCAACATAAAATCAATGGGTGAAGTGATTGTAACTTTTCATACTGCCTAATAAATGTTAAAATCATATGGATTAGTAGGTAGAGATTTTTCAACAGGCAGATTTCTTTTGTAAAAATATGTGCCCTGAAATACTTGTATTTCAAAGTGATCAAAGAGCCGTTGTTTTTGCTGCTAACCAGGTTTGCCATCTGTGATGTCTGTGGGACACGTGGAGGGAGCTGATTACCTGGTTCCAAGTTCAAGGATGGATCTTAACCGCACAAAAGTGAAACATGAGGTTTGCCCCCATGAACTGGAGGATGCTCCGTTCTCCAAAATAGAGAATTTTGCTCCTTTAGTTGGAGATAATAAATCAAGCACAGACTCTGGATTATTTTTAGCAGCATGGTTTCCAGTGAAAATGTCAGTCATTTTGCAGCCTGCTTTTTGCCAAAAACATTAAAAATCACTAAACCACAATTTAGTTTTCATTAAAAAGTGATCAGAAGATACTCAGTTTTCAACGTCAAATTATTTGTCGCTTGGTTGGCACAAAACATCTAAAATGCTGTCACTTACTTATCCTTAGGAGGGTGGATTCTTGCTTTTGCTGAAATCTTTTTGAGATAGGAGTAATAAAATGTAATTTTATAACATAATGAGGCAGGACCTGGGCTTCATAGAGAGGACTATTATAGAGCTTTGGCATAATGACAGATGGGTTAGTGATAAGTAGAGGGAACTTGAGAATGGTGAGCTCTGGGAGTCCGAAGGGGCAGGCACCTCCCACCAGGGCTGAGAGGGGTGCCCAGGAAGAGAGCCGGGGACCGAGATGGCCCAGCCGCAGCTCACAGAACACCAGTCGAGTTGCTTTGGGTCTCTGGGGCAGAACTTAGCACTGGGCTGAGGGACCTGCCGGCCACTGGGGGTATTGACCACAGCAACCAGGAGGCATTCTCTGGAGAGGACGCCCACACCACGGGAGTGTCAGGAGCCTGGCATTGGGGAAGCTGGATGTGAGGCACCGGTTACTCTTTGGGAAGAAGAGAGCAGGCTTTTTTGCAACTTTTCTGTTTCTGCTCATCGCTATTTGGCAGTAACCAGACCAAATCACATAGAGGGCAACAGGGCAGTCCAGGGCAGTCTCCACCACAGTATAGCTCAAGTCCCAGCACCTCTGTCCAGCTTCCTCCTTCTGTCCATCTGGGCATACAGTACCCTGGTGCTCCTGGGACAGAGACCAGCCAGGTGGTTTCTGTGTATCAGCAGGAGGAAGAGGGAGACACGCATCTATGCCATTTTCCTGCCTTTGACTTTACATCTTCCATTTCTGTTCTCAGACCAGTGCTTTCTGGTCTTTACATTGCACTGGGACATTATCCTTTGTTTTGTGGAAAACAAATTCTCCTCTGGAACATACATTCGTCGTTTTTACCACCTTTCTTTTCTTCCTCCTCCTTTTCAATTCTTTTTCCCTCCCTTCCCTTTGTTCCTTTCCTCTCTGGACTCCCGCTCTCCTTCTGGCCTCACAATGATCTGGAACCAATTTGTTAAGAAGTGATTCAGTAACAGTTTACTTACGGCTGCCTTTTCCAATGACACCACCTCGTTTTTATTTGGGTTTTGAAATAGTGAACTGCCAGATGAGTTTTATACTTTCAGAGCATAATCTGTCTGAACAATGAACATTTTGGCACAAAGCTCCAAGAGTTTTCATCATCAGAAATAGTTTTATTATTTAAAGCAATTCAATATAACTGGTAATAAAAGCAAAATGTTACACAGACAATAAACAGAACCAATTCCCGTAGGATTACAAGGACTATTAAGGGCTTTATTGTCTCTATGTTTTCATGTACAAGTGTATTTTAAAAAGGCAACGATTTGTTAAAAGGCTTTTCTAAGCCTATTTTTATTCTTTAAATAACAGAAAGACTAATAAACTATCATTATTATAGCAAGCTATATGCATTGTGTCAAGTAGTCAATTTGGACTACTGTTCATAATCAAAAATAACTATGTCAAATTTATGAAACATAACTTCTAGTTTTATAGGAAATATAGTCATATCATATCTTGAAACCCTAGTCTTGCCAACCGTCGTAATGCAAAAATACTGAACTTGAGACCTTCTGAGGAAACAGAAGATTCATAAAAATCGTATATTTATTCCTAAAAATAACTGTAATGAAGTGAAGTAAGGGCAACTTGAAGAAACATATTTGACTATTGATGTGTAAATATGAACCAGGATCAGAACGTTCATTATGGTTCTCCATTACATACCTTACTTTTATTTTGCCATGAGTTTGAGTGATTTACCTGTCAACATGCGTATTTGTCAAATATCTTTCCCTTGTGTTTGTAACATAACACACCTACACATATCATCTTTGCTCTCAGGGTTGCTTCCAGTTTTCAGGAACTTATAAGTTTGACTTCCCTGTCTGATTAAAGAAAGTTACAGACAGGCTCTCCCTGTTGTAGAGGAAATTCTTGGGGGTTCTGTTATTACAAAATGAGAACAGGGTAAAGTACCAAAAAAAATAACACACACATACACACATACACAACAAATCGGCATTTCAATCTCTAAGCCAAAATATACAATGGCTATAATCTACAGTTTCACATTTTATGTTCTACATATTTATTCCCACAGAATTATGTGGGGACTATCAGGGTTTCTTCCTCTATGTTCTTCTTATTAAGGCTTCTATTTTCCATCCAATTTGTGTGCTTATTTATGAAAAATAAAGAGAAATGTCTCTTTCTAGTCTTAAGTGCCTTATTTTCTGTTGAACTCAAACTCAGTGTCCAACTCAGAAATAAAGGAAATGCAGAAGTTAGAAGTAAATTATAAAACTTTACTTCTCGTTTTAATTATTAAAAAATAGCTTTTTTAATTTACTGATGTCATTCTTCCTTTACACTTGCCAACTCACTGGCAACTCCCTCCTGTGCTTCTCTGTCTCTTTCTGCAGGGGACACAGACCCAGAAACAAAAACGCTGGTGTCACTAAAGGTCAGTGGTATTTAATCTATAACTGTCAACTTCTGCATGATTTGTATTCAGTTCCAGTGGCAAAACTCCCTATGCTTACTATATGCTTATTTCTCACAATGTAAAAACATAGTTCCTAGAATTTTTCAACATTAAATGGAAATTTTAACATACCATTTTTGTTATGACTACTTCAATACTAAAGGCAGAAAAGAGGACTTGTAATCGTTTCAAATGTCTTTGTATTCCATCAGAAGTATAATTTTGTTTCTTTGAATTTTCAGTTAACTCTCGAATGAAACATTCTGTGTGGATAGGTGAGAAATGTTGAAACTCAACAGTCCAGTGAAAATCACTGCATGTTTCAGTTAATGGTTCAATTCTCGAATTAAACTTAAGTCAACAAATATGCTTTAAGTATTTTCCCTATGTTAGGCATTCTTTGAAGAGAACATTCCATATTCGCTTTTTATTATATTCTCCTTGGCATATAGTGAGGGTCAGACATTCAATTAGCAAAAAGTTCAGGTTCTTGATATTTCTTGCTATTTGTTTTGGTTTCTTCAGTGGAACAAAACATGCTATGAGCATCTCAAATTCTAAAATAAATGTGGTGTCAAATGAATAGGCAACCAAAACAGGTTGAGATGACTTAAAGATTTATATGCTAAAACCAATTCTGACTCTTACAAAAATGTGAGTCAACATGTTTGTTCATTAACCTCTGTGTAGAGAAGATGAGACATTTATGATGGCTTAGTATTATAAAAGAGCAAATTTAAAGAATATAACACATTAAATTTTTAAGAGGGGCAACAATCTTTTATGTCCAATATGACACACCAAATATAGCTGAATTTTTACTTTATTTTCATAAAACCTTAAGATATTTTAAAACTGCCTTGATACAGTTTGAATTATTGTCAAATGATAAACTATCCAATTGAAAATTGTGTGTTTTAATTTAGGCTTCAAAGTTCATTCCACTGATGTCTTTCAAACATTAATAGGAATACCAATAAGCAGTATGTTAAATTTCAAAATAATCTATACTTCTAAGAGAATAGATTTTTTTTTAAAAATATGAGAGATTTGAATCTAGAGATTCCCATCTAGTTTATTTCATGCCAGCCACACTTTTTTCCCCTAAGAAATAGAGTTTTTTCAAGCAAGATCCTCATAGGAAAAAAATAAGTCCGTGAAGCTCGCAGCATCAAAGCTGAGTCTCCTCCCGAGAGTTTCCTCCTGAGTTTCCTCCCCACAGGCAGAGGCTGCTGTCTCGGCTGGGCTCGCTGTTGGGAAGGTAGGAGAGCGGGTCTGGTCGGATCAGGTACCTGAGAAGAGGACACACAGCCAGTGGCTGCACCAGTCAGTAAACACAAAACCAGTTCACACTGACACTTGAGATCCCTACTCCAGATGTCTGTGCCCAGGGCGTTTGCTTTTTTATGCCAAATCCTCTAGTGAATGATGGTTCTTTGAATCAACCGAATGTTGCCCCTTCATTGAGAGTGAACTTTTGAGAGTCATGTTTTAGAAAAACATAAAAGGCATGCGTATAACCCATCCTCCTCTTAATTCACTTACGTAAGTGTGCAAGTTCCTTCCCCTAACATTATCATTATGAAACTTAAGTCTAATAAAGTTAATTTCTGAGGTGCATTTTTGGGTGCTGTTTGTCACATAGACACTTTTCATGGTATTTGTCATTGCTCAAGTTACAGTAAAATGTAGTTGTCTCGATGCCAAAAATATGGGTTGTTGTAGGTACCTAAGACACAGTTTTTGATGAATCAAATTACTACCTTTGACCTTTTCCTGATAAGCCTTGATCTGTTTTACTCTGGTTGGTAGAAAAATCACGTGTCTATAGAATAGATAGTGGGAGATATTTCAGGTTGTTCTTTAAGCTGTTGTCTTATTATTCTGCATATTTTCTCTTATTTCCCCAAATACACATATATACCAGCCCATGGAATACAGAATTCGTGCTGCTATTTCCTACTTTTATTTTTCGACAGTCTTGCAATGTTTTTATAGTACTTCACACATGCCTTTGTTTATTGAGCACCAAAATTAGACTTGAACATTTATATCACAAGAACCATAGGGGCTATAATGCTGGAGATACAAATGTAAAAATATCAGTTGGCCCTGGCTGGTGTGGCTCAGTGGATTGAGTGTGGGCCTGGTAACCAAAGGGCAGCCGGTTCGATTCCCAGTCAGGGCACATGCCCGAGTTGCAGGCCAGGTCCCTAGTAGGGAGTGCGTGAGAGGCAACCACACATTGATGTTTCTCTCCTTCTCTTTCTCCCTCCCTTCCCCTCTCTCTAAAAATAAATAAATAAAAATCTTTTTAAAAGAAACATAAATTGGTGGCTTCTGACAATAAATGTAGATGTAAGGTCAACTCACACCACGTCGTTCAGCTCTAGCCTGGTGTCCGGGGACGGGTTAATCAGTATGTAGGACAGGGTGCTCTGGTGATCATTCATTTCATCTGGAAGATAAAGACATGCCGAGCGTGTTATGCTACTTACCGAAAGGTATGAGGATTATTATAGAGCATCTTATTTTCCAAACATAGACCCAACGATGAGAAACTTGTTATAGTTTTGCCCACAGTAGGATCATGTACCCAACTGACTATTTTCAAATTACTAGCACGGGGGACGCCTGGCAGGTACCCGTTTTTGTTATAACGGGATAAAAGTAAAATACCTGGTTCTGTTCAAAACAACTGCAGTTATATTCTACCCTTTACGCTTTTACACTGAAAAAGTATTTCTATTAAGGAACTAGCTAAACAAGATGTCAACTGGATTTCACAGGCTTTAGTAATGACACAGAATTATTGTGGGTAAAGATGGCCATCCCAGGAAGGAATTTTCTCCCAGGAGATTCCGTGAAAAAAATCACCTAATGCCACTGTGCTTAGAAAACACAACAAAAGTGTGTCTAGAAAGCTTGAAGGCCCTACGTGTGTCTGATGTTGGGATGAGACAGCACACTATTGATTTTGCAGGATGCAAAGGATCCCATGGAACAGAGTTTAACTGTAATTTTCCAGGGAGACATACTACCAAGTAATTTGTTTTTCCTCTAGAGCAATATAAACATCTGTAATATATATACAGGGTCCGACATCAATAATGCCCCTTTTTTATTAAAATTTGTTATTACAAGATCATAAGCACGTAATTCTGTAGCAGAACAATATCACAGTCGAGCACACCCTTTGACCTTTTAGGTGAAATGTTGAAATTAAAACCACAAATTATTACACCCACATTATCATCGTACCAGCTACACTCACGCAGGCATTAGTTACTTCTGCCAGACTCTGTATGTAGTAAAACAAAGCTGTGTCGCTTTAACTTTGTGAGTTCCCCCTGAAGGCATCGTCGGGCTCCAAGTTTGGAGTGCTGACCTGGCATTCTGTAGGGACACTGGCAAGGAAGGGGGCACAGCTCAGGGACCCGAAGGCCTCAGCTGCTGAGGCTGCAATGCGGTGTAAATAGAAAGGCATGTAAACGTGTGGTGGACACGTACATCAACAGCATCAACCCTGCGAGGGTGAAGCTTTTAGACGCCGAGGGTATTTTTAAATCCCCACCCTAGAGTTGTCATGTCCTCCTAGCCACTTCAGTGGTAGGCAAGCTTGGCTCCTGAAAGAGGGACTCAATTCTGCATTTGGATACAAAAATCTACACACGTGTTTCATAGCCATACAGACAGATCGATACTTCCATAACTGCATGCTGTAACAGCAAAGGTCTTTTACAGGTCAGTGCAGCTGGCCTTGGGAGTTCCCTGCACTGGGAAGTATCTGTTACTATTATCAGATAATGTCTACTACTGTGCGCATCTAACTGAAAAACTGTCACATGAAAGACAATCTGAAAAACAATGCTTTCCATTCTATTTCAAATCAATACGTAGATGTGCCCTATTTTTACAATCTATCATGTAAACCCTCATCTGATAGGGCAGGTAACTGCTGTACAACTAAACCCCACACAAGTATGCCAGCAAAAGTGGTATAATCACAAGGTCATCAAGTCAACAGTCCATGAAGAGGTATATTTGGTTGCATGTATCTCCCAGGTAAATACAAAGAACTGTGCTCTGTCATGGGAACAGGGTTGCCAGGTAAATCTGTATTCAAGAGGAAAACGCTAATGATTTTTTTTAGCATAAATATGCCTGAAATGTTGCATGCGACATATCTGTCGTAAACAATTATCTATTGTTTATCCGAAATCCATATTTACCTGGGAATCCTCTATTTTACTTTGCGAAGCCTGCCTCTCTTCTCAGGGGTAGATGGCGAACTGTGGAGAGGTAATTCCAAGTGAGGGTATGAAGTGAGCTTGCCCCACATAAGGCACAATTCCACCCCAAAGGATGTTGCCCCGATAGGGACAGCCAGGGTCACCTGTCCATATGAAAAGCAACTTATGGATGCGCTGAGCAATCCTCCCCTTGGGTGAATTGCCACAACTGCTGTACAAAGGAACAGAAATTAATAGTGCCTTCTGGAGACTGAGACATGGTACTCAGAAATGCCAGCAAACCTTCTCATTTGCCTGTGTATAACTCAACCTATCATCTAAACAGTGAACGTTATTGAGGGGTAGCGTTAGGGGAAAGCACTTTAACACATAACTTCTCAGTATCTGTGCCCAGCCTTTCTCCTTGATTATGCACCTGATAGTCATTTCCGGTTCTGGGATGAAGTCAAAATCGGTGGGTGACTTGGTTGGCCTGTTACAAACCTGAAGACTGTCTAGATAACTGAACATTATACAACAGTAGGTAGAACTCGTGCATCGATCATCGTTTTTCTGCTCATTTTCACCTACCATTCTGAAGATGGTGAGTTTTCCATGGACTTCAGGGGTTGGAACAAACATTTGCTAATGAACTCAAGTCAAAGATGACATATGGGTTCTATCAAGAGGCAGGTAACCAAGGATAAGACCCCATCACTCCCGGCTTTTTTTCCTCCCCAACCCCTTACCGACTGCTCCTCAGGGTTAGGTTAACTGAAATTTTAAACAGTGGCAGAGTTCAAAGCCATCCCCTCTCCCCACCCACATCCGCCTGGCTGTGGGGCGCCTCCTGGCAGACTGTGCTCTGCCCGAGCTGCTGCTCTCTTGGGAGACCTACAGGTCCCTCCCTCGCTGTGTGACTTTGGGTAGGAGAATTAGGAGGCGGGGTTTTAAAAGCCCCTGGTGGTCAGACATCAAAAGCACATCAGCCATCTAGTTTCAGCAGCCACACGTCTTGTGTTTTCATCTCTATTCGTGTTTCCTACATTATGTTTTAATGATGTCTGATTTCTGGAGGAAAAAAAAAAACAACATGGCAGATTTTCTGGGTCTTTAAGACCCTGTCATAGCCATGGGTAGTGGCGGAGGCAAAGGCACCGTTAGGGCTAAAGGACTAAGTAAGGCTTTTTACCAAAAATATAATCGCATGTCTAGTAGATACAATGAATTTGTTCTGGAAAATTTGGCTCATGAACCAGAATCAAGACTCATTTACTACAAAGGAAATCTGTTGAGTGGATGACAAGTGTCTTGATCTGTGACCCTGGCAAAGCTGAAATGGTTGAAATCATTCTATTGAAATTAATATTTTATCATTGACATAATTATTTAATGGAACTGCTCTTCTTGTAAAAATCTGAAATACTGAAAAATTTAAAAGAAATTCTAGAATTAGCACATGCAATTACCCAGCTAAAATCTTCACGTGGAAAATATCCGCCTCAGGGCGCTTCATGTAGACAGATTGCATTAGGAAGGAAAGAGAATTATGTTCTTATTGTTCTTACAAAGTAACTCATTAATTCTGGATCCAAACACACGGGCATTCCATTTTTGGTTTTTGAAATTTTTCTATGGAAGTATTGTCAAAACATTTTTGAAAGCCTATAGTTTGATTTAAAAACATAAATCTTCTGTTTGGGTACATTTTATGAAATAATAATTTTGAAAATACGTGTCCATTATGTATTTTGTAATTGGAGAACATTTTAAGTAATAAATACAAAGGTGTGATGAGAGGCTCCGTCAAGGACACAGGCCCTGAAGCCAGAGAGTCTGCATGGAAATCATGGCTTCTCGTCACTCCCACTGAGGCCGTGGGCGAGGATTTCCATTCTTTTCATCCCTCCTGCTCAGTCTCCTCACTACAACATGGGGGGACAGTGGTGCTGTCCCACAGGTTATGGAGCAAATTCAATTATCCATAAATAACAAGTGTAATTGAAAGTTAATATGGAGTGTGTAGAATCATCACTTGACTACTGCTGAGGGTTACATCAAGGTTTCCTATGATTGTTGATTGTAGCAGCAAAACTCAATCTGCAATTCATAAATGCTGACTGTGTGTTGTGATGGGAAGGTGTTGGCATGGAAAGATAAAGAAGAAAATGTCTGGCAAACGGCAAAGGCTGAGGTGTTGAGTTCAGCTGTGGAACTCGGGCCCCTGTGGGTGGACTGCAGTGAGCAAAGAAGCCATTCATTGGAGGTGATCTTGGAGAACAAGCTGGGGCCAGATCCTCTATGGGTTTGTAGACCTGGACAGGAAGTTTGAATTTTATTCTAAAGGTAATGAGAAGGCAGGGAAAGGTTGTGAGGCTGGCAAACTGGGCACAAGCTGCTTTCCTGTTGGATGTATCTCCTTGGCTGTTCTGAGAGAATTGAACTTTGGGGGCTCAGAGTTGAACACAGAAGCCCAGGTGAGAGGTGGTGGTGGCTTATAGTAATGACAATGGCAGAAATTGAGGAGAGAGGGAAAGACAGGTATAGAGCATGACACAGTGAGACAGAGAGAAAAGGAGAGAGAGACAGAGAATATTCTAGGACGAGAGACACCACAGCATATTTAAATGCTGATGGAAGAAAGCAAGTAAAAAAAATTGGTCTGTTCCAGAGTGAAGGCATATTTTTCCTCAGTCACTACAAGACATACCTTATCAGAGAAAATACTCTCAGTTACACAGGGCTTATTTCTCCTACAAAGTCCAATAATCCAAATAATTGGAAATTCCATTGCCTGCAGATGATTTCATTGTCCCCTCATGGACCTCTTTATCAGCTTTCCTGAGAGGCACTACACTATGTAATACAATCTTCAGAACAGAAGTTCGGTGGATGTAGTTATAGGTTTATCTCTAAGTCAACTGTAAACTTCCTATGATTTTAAACATACCATTTATCTTACGATGATCATTATTCTGCACTATGAATTCTGAAATCTAGGAGATTCTGTTTGGTTCTTTTATAGTTTGGATTCTCACTTTATCATGCTCCTGCATCCTTCTACCATCCTACCTGGAGATAATACTATAATAACTACATTAATGTCCTTATTCTCTGGATTGGTTTCCATTGATGGATTTTTCTGCTGGCACAGATTATATTTTCCTATTTGGGACCCACCTGCCTGACTTCACTCGGTAGAAGGCTTAACTCATCTGTTTTCCTT